TTCTTGAGGGATTATTATCAGGCATGTGGGGCAAGGAAATTTGCCCAAGGTTTCGTCCTGCTGGGATGCATCTCTTTAGATAGTGTTACACCAAGAGCTGAACTTGAAACACATGAATTTCTGAAAGAAACAGTACCGTGGGTTAATTTTTTGAGTTCAGTAATGTTAACATGTTTTCTATTTGCTTTAAAAAGTTGCGAAAGATTGTTGTTTAGTTTAGTAAAGATTGAGTAAATGAAATGTGATGTAAGACCAATGTTGTTGAGGGTTGAACATGTTCCTGACTGGCTTGGTGAGGTGGAGTGTGCATCTATGGTTGCTAATGCTGCCGGTGCCTGAGGTGCGGAGGCGCTGGCGCGAGCCAATCAGGAAGGCCTCAGCCTTGCTGACATTCAGCGCTAGAAAGTTTCCTCTAATCCATGACTTTATGTCTGACAGATGTCAGTTGTCCTGGAATTGAGGGTGGAGGCAGAGAGATAGAATTGTAAATATTGAAGAGGAGGGGACTGAGGATAGAGCCCTGAGGAACACTGCACAAGACTGTGCAAGGGCTGGAAGCGAAACTGTTGGCGGAGATAAATTGGAGAAATAAGACCTGAACCATTCAAAGACAGAACCTTGAAGGTTGAGGTGAGAGGAGAGGCGGTGAAGGAGGATGAAGTGGTCCACGGTATTGAAGGCAGCAGAGAGGTCGAGGAGAAGGTAAAGGGAGCCCTGGTCACAGATGGACAGAATGTCGTTTGTGACCTTGACCAGAGCTGAGATTGGAGGGGCTCGTGAAGGGAGTGGTAGGATTGGAAGGAGTGAAGCTGGGAAGCAACAAGTCTTTCAAGGACCTTGGACAGAAAAGGGAGGTTGGAGATGGGCCAGTAGTTAGAAACAGGGATGGGATCAGGGAAGGTTTTTTCAGGATGGGGGTGATTATAACTGTTTTTAGGGGATGGAAACGATGCCAGATGATACGGAGAGATTGATGTTGTTGGAGAATAGAGGGTTGAGGAGATGGAGCTGGGAGGTAAGGCGAGGGGTGAGGATGAGGTCAAGGGAGCAGGTGGTGTGTTTCATGCTGGATATGGTGGTGATGAGAGAGGAGGGGGAGACAGGTTCGAAGATTGGAGGGAGGGATGGGTAGAGTGTGGGAGGAGAGATGGGGAGGGAGTGGCAGTTGGGAGGGTGGAGACAGCTGAACGGATCCCCTCGATTAAGACACCTGTACTGCCATTCTCTGCTTCAGTGAATTACTGTTAATTAATTTGCATTCTTTATGGGTGAGCCAAGATGTTGGCAGATGATTCAACCCCTTAGAAAATTCCAACTGCTTTATTCTGTTCAATAAGGAACTTAGTATTAAAGTATTTATTCATGCTACATTTATATTGTAGTATGGGTGCTACCCCCAGTGATATCGTGGGAGGCTTTCTGCAACAGCCAGACACACTTTAAAACAGTGACTATTTTACTGATGTGGTTCTTCTCTGAATAGCCAGCAAGGATCCATGCATTTCAGCTAAAGCAACTGATTTGGATTCAGGTATAGGAATGGTGGTGTCAAAATTTGCAGATGACACCAAAATGAGAGTGGGTGGCGGGAGGGGGGCATGGTAAACAGTGAAGCTGTCTACAGTCTAGACTCTAGATCAGTGCTGGCTAAACAGTGCTGATTCTGGTCTGTGGAGCCATCAAGAATCCCCCCGCCCGCCAAACACTCGCACTAGTCTAGGTAAGTCCAGGTCTAGCAGCATAACTGCTGGGTGGCTTCTGGGAAAGGTGTCTGAGCTGTAAACAGAGTCACACAGAGTCGTGGACCTCTATCACAAGATCTCATTGGAGCCATTTTTGTGACCATGCACGATTTCCTAAAGAACGCACTGGATATTTTTGCCAGTGACCACAACGAGATGCACACAGGGCTTAGAGTGCTTCTCAGATGTGCCACCATCACAAAGCAGATCTACACAAGTAGTATCAAAATGGGGTCCAAATTACGATATTCACTAAAGCAGTTGCAGAAATTGAATATGCAATAAACCCCCCATCCAAATATTAACATCTTTATCAGCTAAACTGCCTTAGATACCCACCAACCTGTCCTTGCAGAAAGGGTCACGGGCTAATCATCTGATCACAGGATCAGAGAGGTTCACAGCTTCTCAGGCAAAACCTCTGGAACTTTGCTCAGATGCCGAGGGGCAATCCGATCACGTTTAAACCTCTGTGAAGCTGGATTTCGTGCCAAACAGGCTCCTGGTGCTTGGCAGATCCTCCAGTGGGTAGAATCACCATCTCCCCACAGCTGTCAGGTTTATCCTCTGGACTTTATACTCTCTGGATGCTTTTGGAAATCACTGACCCAATCGATCTTCTCAGGTGGATCCAAGGAGCACAAATGAATTCTTTCCGCTCCCTTTTCGAATGCACATTGCAAATTAAATACCTAATAACTTTGTATCAGGCTTGTGTGGTGGTCCTCTGTCCTTGGTCCCTTCCTCTTCAACCTTTACATGCTCCCCCTTGGTGACATCATCCGCAGACAGGGGGTCATTACACAGTCATTACACTTTACAATGACTTTATAACAATGATAACTCACACTTTATGTAGCACCCTCCACGCAGGGTAGCGTCTCAGAGTGCCTTAAATATATCCTGTGGATAATAATAATCCTTGCATTTGATATAGCGCCTTATCACATCTTCAAGACGTCTCAAAGAGTTTCACAGAATATGCTGTAAAGTGAATTGACTGCATATTTTGTGGCCGAAACACAGCAGCAGTGTCCCAAACAGTCGTGGATTGAAGTGACTAAATGACCAAATTATTATTTTTTTAAATTTGTTTTTGTTTTGAAGGGTTTATTACCCCCGGAAAAGTGATTCGCCAATCGACTAACAACCAGGTTCCTACTTACTGCTGGGTAAACAGGCGTGTGGAGTAAGGAAACTTGCCCAACGTTATGTCCTGCCTGGGAATCGAACCCAGGTGGTCTCACTTGTGAGGCGAGTGCTCTAACCACTATGCTACAGGTCTCCACAAGCGCGTTAAGAGATCCTCTTGATGTGAAAGGCGCTATATCAGATGCAGGGATTAATGTTTTGCTATTTTATTATTATAACTAGATTGTGGAGTCCTGTAGCTCAGTGGTTAGAGCACTTGCTTTGCAAGTGAGAGACCTGAGTTCAATTCCAGGCAGGGCGAAACCTTGGGCAAGTTTCCTTACTCCACACGCCTAATAATAATCCCTCCAAAAAAACCAAAAACAATAATAAATTGGTCATTTTCAATCTACGACTGTTTGTGGGACATTGCTGTGCGCAATTGGCTGCCGCGTTCGCCCACAAATATACAGTCAATTCACTTTACAGTGTGTTCTGTGAAGTGCTTTGGGACGTCCTCCCGACGTAAAAAGAGCTATATCAAATGCAAGGATTATTATTATTATTATTAGATATTGAATGACGGCTCTATGCTGACCCCTGCAGGAAGATTTATACTATGATGAGAATTTTCAGCTGCACATTTCACAAGTTGCTGATCTCTGGTTCTGTTTGTCATGAAATGCCAACCTATGGAGTCAGATAGGATGTAGGGATGGACTTATTAGGTGGATTGGGACAGAGTTCAATGGAAGCATTTCACAACATCTGTCAGAAACTCGAGGGTTTCTAATAGGTATACAATAAGTGTCGCTATTATTCTGGACCTGTGACATGCACTCTGTGACAGGTAAATAATGCAATCAGTTATCTGAATTATTCATTTATACAAACAGAACATTACAACCAAATAGTATTGCCACTTTGAATGGCAGTGCAGATTAATACTCTTCTGAGCAGTATGTAAAGCGGGCAAGAAAAGAGCCAACTGCAATCTTGTTTTTTTAAAAAAATTTGAAGCAATGTGATTTTTTATAATAATAATAAAATAATAATAAAATTGCTCACTTCAATCTATGACTGTTTGTGGGACACTGTTGTGCACAATTGGCTGCTGTGTTTCACCCACAAAATATACAGTCAATTCTCTAAGCAGTATATTCTGTGAAGCGCTTTGAAACGTCTCAAAGATGTGCTAAGGTGCTATATCAAAAGCAAGGATTATTATTATTATTTAGTGTCCTTCATGTGGGGTAATATTTTGTAGCTCTAATATTAACTTTACAGAAAATATCCCCAAATACACTGAAAGATCTGCTTTGTATAGACAGTTTCCTACAATACTCTGTTTGCACATGTCCTTGACAATAAATTTCAAGGAGCATCTGTTTAGCCTATAATCTGCTATAACGCTACAGAGCAGTCAATTAATTTTACAGTATATTCTGTGAAGCGTTTTGAGATGTCTCAAAGACGCGATAAGGCACTATATCAAATGCAAGAATCATTATTCTAATTTTTTTATCTTGTAAACACAAAGTTTTTTTGTTTAATATTTATTTCCTTCACTTGATCTGCCCAAAATACATAGATTAGGTACAAGGCCTCAATGAGCCGAACGGTACTCCTTCTGTGCTGAATCTTCTGTGTTCCTATGTTTAAACCAGAATTTGAAACCATATTATAACAACAACTTTTATACAGTGCCCTTAATTCGGGGTGCCATCTCAAAGCGCTTTGACACCACTTAACTTGCACTCTTGAAAATAAACTAAAAATATATAATCTTGTTTATTTATTCTGGTGCACCAGAATATTTGGTCACTGAATCCACGACTGTTTGTGAGACACTGCTGTCACAATTGGCAGTGCGTTTCTCCCACAAAATATACAGTCAATTCACTTTATAGTATATTCTGTGAAGCGCTTTGAGACATCTCGGTGATGTGATAAGGCCCTATATCAAATGCAAGGATTATTATCTAACACCTTGGGACATTCTCCCGAAGTGAAAGGCACTGTACAAATGTAATTTTTTGTTTGTTGTTGTTGCAGAAAGAGAGTTCTCAAAGGGTTAAATCCGACAATGTACCACTTTGATAATAGCAATAACAGCTTTTCACTCACCTCGTTGTCCTGGTGATTTATCTCGCTGATAACTGATTGTTGCAACAGTACAGCCAACACTCTGGAGTAAATCAAAGACAGGTTTTATAAAACATTTGAAGGAGATACAGTACTTACATGCAGTTCATATTTAGCTGATGTAAAAGAAGTGCTGCCTCTTTATTCCTCTTTATTTAGCTGCAAGAGAGACTAATGGATTATTTAATCTCTTTCCTTTCACCACATTAGAAAGCGACGGGCCTGCCATGACTGATAAAATCAAATTAAATAGGCATGGCTGGTTGAAATAGGTTGTAAATGGCACCTGAAGGTTGCCTGACATGATCAAAATGCTCACATTACATGAGTGATGATACCAAGCATTCTGATGACACTGTGCATTCTGCTGCTGATTGTTCAGCTACCGTGATACATCAGGGATGACCAATTTCAGATCTGGCTTAGTGTCCTGCAGCTCACTGGTTAGAGCACTTGCTTTGCATGCTGGAGATCTAGTTTGATTCCCAGCAGGGCGAAATGTTAGGCAAGTTTCCTTACTCCACACGCCTCTGTTCACCTAGCAGTAAGTAGGAACGCAGTTGTTAGTCGCTTTTCGGATCGCTTTTCCGGGGATAATAATCCCTCTAAAAAAATTTTTTACATTTAAAATTGAGGTCATTGTTGTGGGACATTGCTGTGCGCAATTGGCTGTCACATTTTGCCCACAAAATGTACTGTCAATTCACTTTACAGTATATTAAGTGAAGTGCTTTGAAATGTATCAAAGACGTGATAAGGTGCTCTATGCAAGGATTATTATTACAGCAATAGATGAATCAAGGTACTGTGAATTGCACATTTTCATTATGATTTGCCCATGACAGCAAAACCACAGTGTAAAGAGTTGAGTGTCTTGGATTTTCCTTTATCTGTGCACAAAGTCCTGTAGCTCAGTGGTTAGAGCACTCGCTTTGCAAGCGAGAGACCTGAGTTCAATTCCAGGCAGGGCGAAACCTTGGGTAAGTTTCCTTACTCCACACGCCTAATAATAATCCTTCCAAAACCATAAACAATAATAAATTGGTCATTTTCAATCTACGACTGTTTGTGGGACATTGCTGTGCGCAATTGGCTGCCGCGTTCGCCCACAAATATACAGTCAATTCACTATACAGTGTGTTCTATGAAGCGCTTTGGGATGTCCTCCCGACGTGAAAAGTGCTATATCAAATGCAAAGATTATTATTATTATTAAATTTCACAAATGGGCTACCGCGTTTACGTACAAAATACACAGTAACTACAGTTCACTATACATTCTGTGAAGCATTTTGAGATGTCCTCCTGACTTGAAAGATATCAGCTGGGTCAGTAGCACTCTTGCCTCTGAGGCAGAAGATTGTGGGTTCAAGCCCCAAGTTGGTAGCTGAGCTCACATAGTTTAGGCTGATACTCCATGCAGTGCCTGGGGTGTGCTGCATTGTTGGAGGTGCCATCCTTTGGAGATGTTAAACTTATAGCTCTCATCTGCCTGTTCAGGTGGACATTATAGATTCCATGGCACTGCTCGGTAACAGAAGGGAGTATCTCCCAGGATCCTGGCCAACAATCCTCCAATTAAAATTGGTAATTCAATTCATAGCTGTTCATGGGACATTGTTGTGTGCAAATGGGCAGCCGTTTTCACCTACAAATAAATCACTTCACGGTAAATCCACAATGAAGACATGGTGTTCATGCAAAGACTACACTTTGCATGCATAGCGTGTTTTCATTGTGTATTAAACCTGAAAACATCAGGTTGATGTACATGTGCAGAGCAGAACCAGTTCAGAATGTGTCAATCAGGAAGATGAAAGGTGCGGTGGTATGAAGGGCAATACTCACTGCCAAAACCTAAACCAAGCATTAAAAGCTGAATTCGCAGCACTTGGAGTGCTCCTCATCGCTGCTGCCCTATAATCTGCAATTATAGAACTGATATATTTCAACATGTTGAATTGTTTTGTTTTTATGATTTTTCCAATAACATCTCTGAAGAAATATAATGAAACAGTAAATAATATCCAGCCAGCAGTTTAGTGGAAGTAATTGTGGTGCTCAGCATTTTTTGGCATGTTGCCCAGTCACGAATTTACTCTTTAGATTAAAAAGGTTTGACACCTGATTATTCCCTCAGGACTAATTTGAAGGCTGGATTTATTCACAGCATTTATCTTGCTCTTGCTTTTTGCAAAGCATGTTGTATCTATGGATACTGTGCAAAATCCTTAGAGGACAGCGTGAGCTTGTATGAGTATTTTACTCATGACTGACAACATTGGCAAAACCACTTCTGTTTAATAAATATGTCTCCCCCTGAGTATTGCCAATGAGATGTTCATTTGCTGGCTTTGTCTATTTATCGCAAATTCAGACAGCAAAAAAGTCCTGCTAATCTTCGAAGAATTTAATGTAGACATATGTGATAATAGTAGCAACCACTGTTTCTATAAATTATTCAATTACTAAGATCTCCTATCACTACTGATGAGTTTATAGGATGGATACATGGATACATTCATCTTATAGGATGGATACATTCATCTTCTGTTAGACATTATTCTGCAAGCATTATTAAAATTTAAAAGAACACTTGGAATGCAAGAAGCTAATGCTTCTTGCATTCCAAGTGTTCTTTTAAATTTTAATAATGCTTGCAGAATAATGTCTAACAGAAGATGAATGTATCCATCCTTCGGATGAGATATTAAACTGAGGCCCCATCTGTGTTTACAGCTACACTAAAGATCCCAATGGTCAACAATCCCCTGAATAAACTGGTCATTCGTAGCTGTTTGTGTAACATTGCTGTGTATAAATTGGCTGCTGCATCTATTTGTATGGATGCCCATAAAGCATACAGTCACTGCACTTTACAGTATATCCTGTGAAATGCTTTGGGATGTCCTCCCAACATGAGGTGGTTTACTAAATTTAAGGTTATTATTAGTTTTCTTTACAGAATACAAAGATAATAATGCTCTCACGTAGAAACCCTGGCCCATCCTGGATAATTGAAATTAGTAGAAGTTTGAGGTTCAACTGTAATACAAAAAAATACATTCTGCAAAAGAACAATTTAAGCTCCACATATTACCGCTTCTTTCCTTTAAATTTTTTTCATTTGTATTTAAAAAGGGATTAATTGCAACTTAATTAAATTTGAAAATAAAATGTTATTTAGAAATAACATTTAGTTGAAATAAAAATGAAATCCACAAGATTGTAAGAAAGAATAGAATGAGAAATGACTGTCATGAAACAGGTTAGTTTTACTGATGTTATGTTGTTGCAATAGTAATCCTCATTTTATCAAGCCCATTTCTTGCACTGATCATATAAACCTATCGTAACATAGAATTCTCCCATACAGTTGATCTACTTGGGCAAGGTTTTACATAAATACTCATCGATTCCCAAAGGTGATCAGAAAAGCTATTTTCTGACATCTCCACTCTACTAACCTTGCCTTTTTGTATCCTCTTCTCCCCACCCTTAGTCCCATAGCACATAAATTATATCTAAAGCAGATGATCCACTGCAACAAATGTATAAAGCATCTCTTTATTCGGCCCATATGTGAAATGTGTCCCTGAGAAGGACACAAGCCCTTACATCTGAACTTTGGTCCTAAATATGTCTTGCTGTCAATCATTTCTAATGATTTACAAGAAAGTGCATTATTTTGATGGTATAGCTATGACATGACAATGATCAGAGGTTCTTGGGGGAAGGCATTTAATTAAAGAAAATGGATTAGAAAAGAACAGCTGTTCCTAGCTGGACCAGGTGGCAGCACTTTGCAAGACTGTTTTCCAGAGACTATTAGTTTCACGCAATTTTAAAAAAAAGTTTCCCAAGAGCTTTTGTTAGTTTACATCCTGTGGTGAGTTCATTATCACATTGTAAATAGTCTTCCCTAATCTATCGACTCTAATCTTCGCCTACACTCATGTGGCCAAGGTTGGAAAATTTACTGACCAGCACAGACTAAGAATCCGCCTGTTAAATTACACTTTATAAACTCACACTGCTATGGTTGAGAAGTTTACTAGCAAACAGGGGACAGTGTAATGTGCTCCTCACTTAACAAGTTTGGAAAGTGTACCAATGGTTGGAAAATCGCTCTTGTTTTAGATAAAAACTGTGCCCTTACCTGAAGTCAGTTTCTGAGGTGGCAGCATGAAGAGGCAGTCTGCCGTTTTTGTCTGGCATGTTTTGCTTGGCACCATTTCGCAGCAGAGTTACACAGCCATCTAACCAGCCCTTATAACAAGAAGACATTTGTTCCTTCCATCAGTGTTCACTCAGTACACTTGCTTTCATCATTAAGAACTTGGGAGATTTTTATTTGAACAAATACCTGTGTTGGGTTTCCCCAACACCATAGCAGGAGGGGTGGAGGCTCATGTGGACTATAAACAATGGTACTAACTAGTTGGGCTGAATGGTTTGTTTCTGTCCTGTAATGTTGTACGTATCATATAGAATGGTTTGATGTTACAAACTGGATTTTTTTAAAAACAAAATCTAGTCACATTCCTGTTATTCTCCATTCAATACAGTCGTTACCTTTCCTGAGCATTTCAGAATGTGCCGAATTTAGCAAATTATTAAACAAGGCCTTAATTTTGAAGCCGAGTGTTGGTAAGTTTCTTTTAAAGAACTTACAGAAAAGTGACTTAAAAATTAAGAGTGAATTTGCCAAATTCTGGATGCACTGAAATGCTGCATAAATAGAGAAAATCTTGATCCAAGTGGAATTTCTACTCTACAGCTTAGTCATCATGACCTGGGTGGACAGTCAATACTATTTTGCAAAGCAGTTTAATTTCTACAGTCTACGAGAAACTTTGCAATTGCTCCTTAAGCTATTATTGATAGAAAAACTCATAGAAAATCAAATAGAATTCAGCCAAGTCTTTACCAGGTAGGTGGCGAGAGACAATGCAGTTCTTCCGCAAGCATCTTCAGTGTTGATGGAAGCTCCCATCTTAAGCAACAATTTCACTGTATCAAGCTGCCGTCCTGATATTGCATGCATCAATGGAGTCGATCCTGAAAATAAATTGTAAACAATTGTCTCCACGATGCTTTTGTCTCCCAATTTTTAGCCTCATTACATTATGATAAAATCTTATTGTCTATAATCATCATTGTATCCATTGATGCAGACTATTTCCTCAAATCACTGCGTTTCAGGCTTCTGGCTAGGGAGAAGTTCATGTTTATTGCTGTTGCTTCAGACAGGTTTTGAGGAGCATTTTCTAAAAGTGCATTTGTTACTGTAGGAAGTGCAGCATAATACAGTGAAGTGGATTGACTGTATATTTTGTAGGCGAAAACCGCAAATATAAATGAGGCTATTAAATGAATGGGAATGTCACAAACAGTTTCTTTTCATGAAATAATACAGGGTGGCCAAAAAGCCGTGATACCCTTACAATGTCTAATAAGTCTTAAAGAAATGATGCTATATATTTTTAGATAATAGGGTAGTTATCACGACTTTTTGATTACCCTGTAATACTTCTTCACGAAATGACATCAACAGCGCTTCCTGCACATGAGCAGTGTGAGGTCCACCACATAAAGAGATTATGGGGCACAACAAGGGTTTTCTTTTTGGTTGATGAACGGACCCTTTTGTAATGTTTCATGTGATTCCAACCTCCAATCGGACTTCATAATACACACACACCACACACACACCACACCCCCACCACCACGCACACACACACACCACACCTCCACCACCACGCACACACACACACCACACACGCACACAACACCACCACCACACACACACAACACCACCACCACACACACACACACACAAATCACGCACCACCGAACAAAGTCTGTTTGTAACATTTACCTTCACTGTCGCAGCATTCCAATATGGAAGGATCCTCTCGAATGACTGCTGTCAGGGTGTTAATGTCTCCAATAGAAGCTGCATGATAAACCACACTCAGGTCGATTTCTTCTGCAGAGTCACCTTGCAAAACAACACAACGGCAGTTTTACATTCATGCAGCGCCTTCATGAGGTCTCAAAGCGCTTGACAGAGCCAGCTAGCAGCCCAAGATGTGGGTGGGTAGAGCTACGGAGGGAGGGGGGAATGGTGATCAAAAATGCAATTGAAAAGAAAGGTCTTAAGACAGGCTTTAAAGGTGGGGAGGGATGGGTGAAGAAGAGGGGTTCCGGGATGCAGAGGCAGAATGGCTAAACGGTCAGGCGGAGGTTGTGAAGCAGGCCGGTGTCCTCCTTGTGGATGGAATGACCAAGATGGTAGGGTTGCAGGAAATTACAGAGGTAAGGTGGAGCAAAAGGAGGGAGGGATTGAATTATGAGGACTAGAATCTTGAAATCAATCCGCAAGGGCTTGTGGAGCCTGTAGAGCCAAGTGAGGATGGGCAGGACACAAGTGCACGAGCTGTAGAGTTTTGGATGGTCTGCTGCTTGTGTAGGGAGGAATTCAAATAGTCTAGGCTGGACATGATGAAGGCAAAGAATGACAAGTAAAGAAGCAATTAGTGAAAAAACTCCCATGTGCTTCATTTATACTTTATACTTTATAACATTTATACTTCAAACAACCAGATAGTGACAGAGCAGACAAAAGACAAAAACATCAGCACTGGATTAGATTCACTCCAGAAATTCGCTGGTTTAAATGGCCTGGTTCAAAGGACATTTCATTCATTTACTGCCATACCTATCCAATTTTGGTTGCTTCTCAAACTACAAATAACAAAAAGTTCCCTCTCCCATCTTCCAGAATCGCAACCTCTAAAGCACGTGGTTAGGAAAGATGGTGGAGGCCAAGATAAAGAGTTAATTTTTAAAACAGCACAATACTGTTATGGGAATACAGTAATATGGGTGGTTTTACACCAAATCATAAACAAGTTTTGGTCATTCTTAGGTGGCAGATCCACTACACCAGGATACTGCTGATGATAACCCAGCCAGCCTGGCTCATCGGCAGGACTTGGAAGGTCAGACCAGTTACTGGGGGTAGGGACTCTTCCCGCTCAGCTCCTGTTGACCGTGCAAGACAAATCGCTAACTGGTTGGGTGGTCTTAGCTGGACAAGCAGTGGGAAAGCTAGCCAGGCAATGACAGTCTAATTCTTGGCCAGGAAGAGGAATACATTAACAGTTTCAGGCAGGATTAGACTTATGTTCCATCCAGCTACATATCCAACTTCCCTAAAGATTCTTTTTAAACATCTATCTTATCATCTAATAACCCTGAGGAATTCATGCAAACAATTCTGCAGCTGAGAAGGCTCATTAAAACGTAAGTATTTAACCAAATGTTAACATATATATATATATACCAAGATATGCGTGCATCTTTCTGTCAGTCATTTTCTGCAGGAGACATTTTTCCTTTAAAGGTTCAACTACATTGGAAAAAACAACTTGTTAACAAATGGCAGTTTATGGATTCATATTTGAGTTCAACCAGTACAATTATGCAAATTTTAGGTTCCATTACCCTTTCGTCATAAACAACAAATAGAAATCAAACAACCTGAATTGAAATCACTACTTATGATCTATAAATAGGATCGCAAACAATCTGTAAAAGGAAGGTAATAAACAGCCACTTTCATTTATGCACTGTGCTGATACTTATAAAAGAATGGTTCTCAGTGGGTGATAATAGACAGCATTGGTAATGTTTTGCACATATTAAGGTACTGATGCAAAGTGGCTATTCATTCTTTTGCGATGACTACCATTCAGTTCTAGATTGATACAGATCAGTGATTTTAACTAAACAAAATGCATTAAAACTACCATTATTTCCAAACCTCATGACTCACTTATCACAAATTCTCTTGACAAAAGCTGCATTTCACGGAAATCAACACTATGCCTCTGAACGCAGAAACCTACAGGACAGAAGGACGCCATTCGGCCCATCAATCTGTATCGATTTACAGAGTAAGAATATCGCTTCAATCCCACCACCACCCGGTCTTTTCTCCATACACCCCATATGTTCGACAGAAGACAGCTTTCCCAGTCTTCATGCATTTGTAATAATAAGAGTTGCCTGATCTTTACACACAGTAATTACAGATATCAAGTTCCTGCATCTTTTGTTCAAAAATTATGCTTTGAAGTTTATTTTCAATGATTTTCCAGTGCCTAAAGTATGCATCACACCTTTCTGATGTATAATTGCTGTGAAGCGCTTTGAGACTTTACAACAACACGGTAAGATGCTATATCAGATCCAAGGAATATTATTTTATCATCTCACAATAGCACTTCCAAACTAATTCTCTTCTGACGTTTGGAAAAGGTAGGGATATGGTATTGATCCTTCATGAAGATAGAAAAAGAAGCAGTTATTCCCAACAGCTTAATCAGGTGATATTGATACTGCAGTAATCTTACAGGATGAGTCTCTTCAAACAGAATTGGCTCTGTAATACCTTGAGGCTGTTGATGCTATGATCCAGCCCGGTTTACTTTGCAGCCAACAGTCCAATAAACTGGTAGCTGCAATGATGTAGCTACATATTATAACACTGAAGACTCATGTTTGATTTTCTGTATGTATCAACATCCAGGCTTGACCATGTCAAAACTCCTTGCTTGTCGGCCTTCCCACCTCTTCCCTCCACAAGCTGCAGATCATCCTGAACTCTGCAATTTGTGTCCTCTCCCGCACCTGCGACCCTATCACCCCCACTCTTGCCCAGCTCCACTGACTCCCCATCCCTCAGAAGACAGAATTCAAAATCCTCATCCTTACCTTCAAGGCCCTCCACAGCCTTGCTCCTTCCTACCTCTGTGACCTGCTAACCCCATATCAACCTGTCTGCTCCCTCAGCGGAGCAGGCTCCACCCTGCTTCAGGTCACCTGCCCGGCCCGCCCCACCATCGGCAGTCGGGCATTCAGCTTCTCTACCCCCACCCTTCGGAACTCCATCCCACATTGCCTTTGCGTCGCTCCGTCTCTCGCCTCTCTCAAGGCATGCCTCAAGACCCTCTTCTTTAACCACGCCTTCGGCCACCCATCCTGCCCACCACCATCTCTGATCCCAATGCCCCTGCTCGGATCCAAATCACTGACTGCCCAGCGACTTGGAACATCCTCCCATGTGAAAGGAGCTATACAAATGTAATTTTCTATTGTAGTGTAATAATTGTTCCTTACCATTGTTCCTTAAGATAAATGTAGGTTAAGATTCTTTATCTTATGACTAATAATTATATCCTCTGCTTTTCCTGTTCTTGTTCTGCACCAAATATATCTTTACACCCACATGATTGATTCACTGTATTATTTCCAAAATCTAATGTATCCTCTATCATTTCTTCAATCACACACAGTTATCTTTATTAATAATCCTTGCACCCGATATAGGACCTGATCACATTGTGGTGCCGAAACCCTCGTCCACACCTTTGTTACTTCCCAGCTGGACTATTCCAATGCCCTCCTCGCTGATCTCCCCAGCACCACCATACAAAAAAATTAAATGAATCCCAAACTCTGCTATCCGGATACTCACCCACACAAAACTCCATACCCATCACACCAGGCTCCACTGGCTTCCAATTACCGAACGGATTACCTATCCCACCTGTTTATCCCCCATTCCAGCACCCACTGCCTCCACTCAGCTTTCGGCCTGCTATTAGTCCCTCGTCCCATCCGCTCCACCATCAGTGGCTGTGCCTTCAGCCACTACGCACTGAAACTCTGGAGCTCTCTCGTTCAATCCTTCCACCTTGCCCCCTCCCTCTCCACTTTCAAATCCTCACTAAAGACCTTCCTTTTTGAACGTGCTTATGGTTACCTCCCTCTTTGGCTCAGGGTCAGACTCAACCACTGTTAAGCGCTCAGGGATGCTATGAAGAGCGCTATATAAATACGTCATTGGTGTTGTTGTTGTTGGATCTTGAATTCGATTCAGGTGATAGGGAGCCAGTGGAGCCTGGCTAGAACTGATGCAATGGGGGTATGGAGTTTAGTGCAGGTTGAGTAAGCCACAGACTACTCCACCCACAGTCCCCACTCTCTGCCTTGTCCCCGTCTTCCCCACCTTCAAAGCCCGCTTTAAGAACTCTTTTCAATCAAGCTTTGAGTCACCTTCACCCCACCCGCAGTTCCCCTCCTTCCACGCTACCAGTCAGCTTTAAGACTTCCTTCTAATGTGAAAGGCACTGTATAAATTGTTGTTTCAAGTCTTATTGATGTGCCACATAGACTGGTTGACCATCAACAATGGTTGTAGCTGTCAGCCTGACTCTTCTCTGACTCAGAAGTTTGTGGGTTCAAGCCCTATGTTGAGACTTGGTGGGGGAGCACTGCATTGTCAGAGAGCACAATCTTTTGAATGAGATGAGGACTGCCTGTCCTCAGGTAGATTTTAAAGCTTGGATGACACTATTTGATAAGGGAATGGCGTGCCTCCAAGTGTCCTTCCCAGCAATTCCCCAGATTAATCAACGAATAAAGCGCTACAAAAATGCAAACTTTCTTTCTTGGGTTGTTATGGACTTGCATAGCTTCACTAGGCATATCACCTCAGAGGCAGTGACACCCCAAGGAGACACTGCTCACTCCCCACCCACAAGAAGTATTCATTTATCAACCTCAATAGGGGGAGCTGCTGAGAAAACTCAGCAGCATTCAAACCCAGTATCTTCTAATTCCCAGTCCAGTGCTTAAGTGCCCGAGCTAGTCGAGAGGTTAAAATTTGACATCTTCGTGAATATACTGAACCAAAATTTGCAAACCTTACAGAAACATACAAAATTGATTCAATCACTGGATTTATGATGTAAATTTCAAAACACTACCTTGTTACAAATTCAGTTTCAATGCACAGATAATATTACAGACCTCAAAGGGTTAAACAAGCCCTATTTATTTCCTTCCTGCCACATATGTTCACAGCAATAAATTAAATAAGGGCACAAATAATAAGACACACATAATAACACAGTATTGAAGGTTAAACGAAAATTGACAAAACATGAATGTGTAGTATTTCTTGTTTAATATAGACAGCACAGCAGAACAGTCACTTAACTGAGCACATTTCAGTTACACTATTCTGGAGGTTATTAAATGCCATTTGGCTTTCTGAAAAAAAGGATAGCTTTATTAATTTCTCGATAAATATAAAGTAAAATGTATAAACATATGTATATCTAAATATTACTGAAGCGTCTTGCAATGTTTGTGGATGAATTATGATTCAACATTTGCCCATTTAACTTATCAAACTGGTTTTTCTTCCTGTGGTCCTCAGGTTATCAGTGGAACACTGTGACCACCCACAATTTGAATGTCAGATTTTTTTAAACGTAATTGTGATATAGAAATTGTATGTCCTATTCCCAAAACACATCCGACAAGGTAAGAAACATCAATGTACTTAATAATTAAGAGGCTCATTCTTCAAACCATCTACCTTAATTTGAAGAACCCACGCACATAGCTCGGAAACCCATACAGTTCAGCAGAAATCTGAGCAAGCATGTACCCCGTTCATTTATTTACTCATATTGAAAACATCCGTACCTTTATGCTGATCGAAAACAGACGATGAACTAAAATCCATTTTTCTATTTCATTATTTACAACCGGAGCAAAAAAATTTCAGCTCAGCGTTTCAGACAGAGAAGCAACGACTGCAGTAAATGGAATGACAGCTATCGCAGAGCAATATGCTGGCAGGGGAGGGGGACTTGTAATAAATCAATTTACGGCTCTGGGTTGTGAAGGAGAATAGCAGTGCTGGCCTGCACCTAGCACTGAAACAAACTGCTTGGTACAGGCTGCTGCTGGAAGGCGAGATCTCCCGAGAACAGCTGAACCTTTTGAATAAGTCCGCACGCTGCTTGACTGAAGAAAATTCAAGTGTCTCTTCCTCTGATGCTGCCAAAGATGCCCCTTTGATCACGTCACCGAGTCCAGAAACAGCCACCAATGATGTACCACTCAAAACAAATGTAGATTAAAGCAGAAGAACCAATGTCTCCTCAAATAAAACAGAACCATCTCACTGTAAACAAGGGGTGCTCACCACAAGACTGAGCATGTGCAAGATGGCAATGCACTTTGGGTATGAAGAGTCTCTCTCCCTAAAATGTACTGAAGTTCTGAGCAGCAGCATTCATTCTGTAAACAACTCGAGTCCCAGCTTTTGAAAATGATGTCTGAAACAGGATCTGTAGTGATGCGATTCTTGATTAATTATCTAGTGAGAGTTTCCTGAGCTGTGTGGAATAAGTAAAGGAGAAAATCAAGTCTAAACTTTGACCCCCACAAGTGCTGTAAAAATGTTGCTGTTTCCCATGTTGGGACAGCCACACGTTTTATTTTGATTTGCCTGGAGCAGGAATGGGACTGAATAAAGTCTTTGCACAGAAGATTCGCAGTATAAATTATAGTAACATAATCACTCGCCTAGCTTTAGTCAGGCTGATAAAAAAAATAACAACAACTTGCGCTTATAGAGCTCCCGTCATGCGGGGCAACGTCTTGGTATCCTTAACCGTGGCCGAGCTTCATACCGGGCCGGTGGGGAGGGAGGGGGTGACCGTAAGCACACTCAAAGAGGAAGGTTTACAGTCGTGACCTAAAAGAGGGGAAGGATGTATTAATGGTAACAATAGGTACAGCTATGCTGAGGTGAGCACGTGAGATATTTAAATTTTGAACTCTTGCCGTGCTACTTAATTCAGTAAATAGAGGTGTCAGTCTTCGTTCGGCTCTGCTTTCAGTTTTGAAAATCCCAGATTTGTTTCCATGCTCGTGAGGAACCAATGATGATGTGAGGGTGTTGCATACCCAACGAGATTGTGGCTTAGAGACATTGTTGCACATATATGGACACTAGTTGTTGCCTTACTTTTTACATGTGTTTTGGATCACTGGATACTGATCACAAGAAGGATGAAGAAGGCCATTGATCATAGAATCTTACAGCATAGAAGGAGGCCATTCGGCCCATCGTGCCTGTGCTGGCTCTTTGAAAGAGCTATCCAACTAGTCCCCTTCCCCCGTTCTTATCCCATAGCCCTGCAAATGTTTCCTTTTTAAGTACCTATCCAATTCCCTTTTGAAAGCTGTTACTGAATCTTCTCGAACCACTCTTTGAGGAAGTGCATTACAGACCATAGCAACTCTCTGGATAAAAAAAATCCTCCTTGTCTCCCCTCTGGTTCTTTTGCCAATTATCTTAAATCTGGTTCCTCTGATTAACGACACTCCCACCACAGGAGTTTCTTCCTATCTTGAATGCAGAATATCCAGTTCACCATCCTCCCATAAAAGCATCAAGCTATTTCGTAAACGAGCCCGTGTCTTGTCCTCAACCACCCTTCCCAGCAAACCTGTTCCAGTTGTTAATTACCTTCAGGGGAATAAATATTTCCTGATATCTGTTCAGAAATTGCATTTTACAATCCCAAACCTATGTATTCTTGTTTTGCACATCTGAAGGTATTCTGAGTTTCATTTCTATATCCCGTTTGTATACCTTTACTGTACTTACAACCAAGTAACAGAGTCCAGGACTTGAAAATTAAATGACTTTTCTCTCAGCCTTTCCTACCCTTTATTAGATCATTTTATCAACTTAAAAAGTTGGAGGCCTAATGATTTGAAACCAGACCATTATAGTCCCTGGTCGAGCACTCAATCAACTGAGCTAGGATGTCTATCCCAATAATAAATTAAAGACAACAAAGCTCTACGGTTAAAGTGGATTGGAAAGTGGTTTGGCAATGATGATGGAAAAGGGGATAGTGACAATTTGAGCTCTATAGAGATCATCTCTGATTCCCTGCTGATCACAAAATTCGTAATTGTTATGTAGAGGCTACTTTTTGTAATTGTATTGTCTTCTTGTGATAAATCATTAGCCAATGACACTAAGCTTTAACAGCCACATGGTGAGTTTAAGAAGAATTGATAAGCTCCTTCAATGGTACAAAGGATAGAAACATCACCTGATGTAGTAGTAAGTGATGCAGACCAGAAAGTCATAGATTTGATTCCTGATCTGCGTTGAATTAGCTGGTCTCATTGGGTGTAGGAGTGTTGCAATTGACCTCAATGCCACTGGGTTAGAGAGAAAAGTCAAGCAATGTTCACCAGATAGCTTTGTTGCTATCCAATGAACCTCTATTGGAAAGTTTTAATGTGCGACTTTAAATGAGGAAGGATCTAGTCCAGAAGAGCATTTACCAGAATACTCAGCTCAAACCTAATTTTTACAACATTGGGACACCAGTTTGCTGCACACTATATGCAGCAATTGTAAATCTCAGCAGGTGGTTAAAATGAGTTTTTGTGTTGCGAAATGCTCTTTCATAGCTGCTTTCATATCATATCAAATCTGTTATAAAACATTGTATATATTCCTCCTCACCCCCCTCAGCACCCATCTTGGGTGCATATCTAGCGTTGCTAAGTGCTTGAGATGTCCTCCCAATATGAAAGGCACTATATAAATGTAGATTTATTGTATTGTATTTTCATCCCTATATGATGTTGCCTTAGCTCATCTGTTGATGTATTTGTTGAAGCAGAAAGATAAATGTGCCGGAATGAAGGGAGTTCCAGTGAATGAGCTGGAACTACTACTAACCAGCTGGTATGGGATTGTGGGGATGTCGGTGGTTAGCTCAAGCTTGATAGAGACACATGTTAATAGCAACAATAACTCGTATTTATATAGCAGCCTTTGCGCGAGTAGCATTTCGGAGCTCTTAACAATGGTGTGGCTTGATGCTGAGCTGGAAAGGAAGAGAAGGTGACTGAAGGCACGGTCAAAGAGGATTCCCTTGATTTTCTAATGACTAAGAAGACTGAGTGCAACTGCACAAAATTGACCTGAAGAAAACTATTGAAGTGAGTGGACGTGCTGAATGCTCATGCTGCTGCTGGTAATAATACTTTGTTCTAGGATAAACCTCAATAACCACCCTGTATATTAAGACTGGATCAGGCTTGCACACTGCCTTCACTCACAACCTTCAGATAGCTATTCGCTCCTCCTGCTTTCCTCCTTTCCTGTTCTAATACAGCACTTTCTGCCGCCATAATGGCTAGTAAATGATTCAAAAGATAGGCTAACAGCTATAGTGATTTTTTTCCCCCTTGTTGACAATGAGTCAGGGTTGGTCACAGCATTAAGACATCTTGTAAGCTGGGAGAATACATATGGCAGAGGAAGCTTCAGTATTCCCATGTAATTGGGTTCCCGAAGGAGGGGAATGCTTTAACCATTCTTATCTGGGGATGTGGCTTTTGGAGAAATGGATCAGTGCCTATCTCAGAACGTTAGGTCATGGACATGGAGTGTATAGTGACGCACACTATTGGCGGACACAGTGGCAGCTAAACTTTTCAACTGCTGCTCTGGCTGAACTTTTATTCAATAATTCATTGCCTGTTAGTTATTATAAGAAAGTGGAAAAGACAAGGAAAAACTTTTAAAGGAAAAGACAAGATGCTGAAAGGACGTTTACCATCAGCATCTTATCAATAGTAATAAATGAAACCTGGGCTTGATATTGTTGATATGCACATGATAGAGTTCTATGTAATCTTTCTGAATATGTAGTGTTCTAACTGTCAGTGGTACATTCTTACTGATTTCTGGATATTCCCAAAAGGCTGTGGAAAAAACAGGGTTAATGCTAAGTCCATGATAAAACAAACTGGCCTGAAATTAGGACTCCCAGGGGATGAGCAATTTCCTGTGCAGTTTCCTGTTTGCTATAAAAGTTTCACTATGAAATAATATGTTACCTGTGATGATTTGCTCAAAAATACACAGCAAATGATGCGTACTAAAAATTTCACATGTAGTGATTTATTATCACCCTTATTTTGAGTATACTAGAACAATGTGCTCAAGAACACATTGAGGCTGAATCTTTAACTGACAATATATTTACCTGTCTCAGAGGCCTGAAATTCTCATGGATTTAGTGGCAAGACCATTATCTTAAAAGTTTAGATAGGCACAAATTTAGCAAAATTGTTAAATTCAGTTTGTTTTCCAGCTTGTTTTGGGGAATGCAAAAAATCAGATTCCCCATCAACAACTAATTTAAGACGTTTTCAAAATTCTGCACTATGTTAAGCTTAAGACATTGGGTCTTGAGACTAAGTTCATTAGAATTTTGGGGCACCTGAGTGTCTGGTAAATGTGGTGGATTTGGTGATGAGAGCATATGATAGGAAAATCCCATTATGAGTTCTCAATGTCAAAGCTGGTAAATGTATTTACCAACTGGGATTAAGACACCCTTGTCCTCCACAATTAATAAATTTACTGATGATCTGACTGCACTTCACAAAAATATGAAGCAGCAACAGCCCAGAGTAGTGAATGAGGAAACAAATCAGAAGAAAGAGAATTATTAGCTGAAGATTCAGTGCAGGAAATTAAACAATCCACAACAGGTAACTAAAATTTAACTGCTATATTTGCCTACAGAACACATAGTAACAACACTTCACAGTAAATCCTATAAAGCGCTTTGAGATGTCCTCTGGACATTTGTTTTTGGAAGGAATCAAATGCAAGGATTATTATTTTTA